AAAATATGGCTGATGAATGAAGCAAAAATTAAAATTAATATTACAAAAACATACCTCTAAAATGCTACTGTAATTAATGACATTATTAGTCATATTAAAAAAAACAATATTAGAATAGTAATGATATTCGTGTTCCTCTTTTACAATTGTAAATTTCATCAGAATTCTCCGTTATAATGAAAATCAAATCTTTTTAAAATTAAATAGCCAATCGAATTTTGTAGTTGAATAATCGTCTCAATCTGCATCCATCTTTGCGATTCTTCTTCTCATCGGAGAAACGCGCCGCATCTCCATGCGCATTACATGCACCTTCCATTGAGAGAGAAACAAAAAGAGAGGGAGAAAGAAAGAAAGAAAAGAGACGGGCGCGTGTGCGTGCAGCGTAAGATGCAGTGGAAGACGCATTATCTTCCAATTGAATCCCACGTATGCGGATGGTGCTTCTCAAGAGAGGTAGTGGCGCACACTGAACAATATCGACTCGGCAATATAACGTGAATGCCAAGTGGCTATTGTCGTAACAGAAGCTACAGGCTATAATGAGGCCTCTAATATTGTTTCGGCAAGAGAGAAGGACGATGATCAATACATATAATTGACCTCGAATTCATTTGTTCAAAAACATGGCGATTGCATTCGATAACGAGAGAAGCTAGTTTCAAGACACTCAAGCCGCTTCATTAAAATTCAGCAAAGCAATTCGGTACATGTGTTATCTCAATTCGTTAACATATCCTGAGTGACGATTTAAGATGTTTACCGCTGTCTACGATTTTCAAGTAGAATAATATATGCAAAAGTAGCTATTGAATATTTTAGAATCCGTGAATCTTCTCACTTTCTATTTTTTTTTCCACATTCTTTATGATATACTGATTACTATTTAAAAGCAATTTGCTAACTGAATTAAAAATGTAGTAATATAATATATAACTTAAGGAATACGAAAAGAGATAAAAGTAAAGATCTCCAGTCCATCGAATGTGTGTGTGTGTGTGTGTGTGTGTGTGTGTGTGTGTGTGTGTGTGTGTGTGTAGTAGTATAATA